GTATGGAATTAGCACGAAGATAACGCATAATATACTATAATTCAACCCAAAACACTTCACCGATGATTAACCTAATTATTTAAGCAAATTATTTTATGATCGCTAGTTCCGAATTCAGTGTAGTAAACGGTGAAAATAATCAAAATAATTAAATACCATTATGTCACATCACTCTTTACACCGGGCTGAAACGGTTGACAAATTGAAAGAATAAACTATAATCGCAATTCGCCAATCGACATTGTGTCGATAGCATACTTTAGTGGATCTGCACAAGCACAACACTAACTTATCGCAAGATACAGTGGCCGTACTACACGATGCATTCCCATAAAGTATCGTTTTGTCATATTTACATTGCTAGTTCAGTCGCTTAGCGAGCAATGTATTTACTACAAAATAGTAGCGTCGCAGTGATATTTGAAAACAAAAATAACGCATTAAGAGCAAAAAATATTTTACGATTTGTTGTTTTTCATGATTTTAAAGATAAATATAGTAAAATACTTGTTCTTACATATGGTAAGTGATTCCATGATCTACAAAGATTTTATTTTGGCTTCGGTTTTTACAAGAAACCACTGAATAACACGGCATTCTGATATTGTTTCACGATTACGGATGAAAGTATACTAATACGCAGAGACGGCCGTTTGAATAGAACCTGAGCATTTTGATCATAGCGTGCAGACACAGACATGCCCTTGCCACTTCTCCTCTGTTTAATATTTCTTTGAGTCAAATCATCTCGATGCTCATTTGGTTTTGCGAGCTAATTTAGATGGAGAAGATATCCCTTAAAATTTTATAGTAGGAGCACCGAAGCGAGAGTTTAAAAATTTATCTTGTTTGCCGTTGCCTACCTTAGTAAAAGTGTACTTTAATAAAATTGTTCTGTCATACCGGAGCTGTAGCTTATTCAATTTGTGTGCCGCTTTTGACTTATAACGTACAAATACAAATTATTTAAAACTAAAAGTTTAACACTAAGAGCTAAACTGTAATGTAATTATTAAGTATTGCAGTTAGTTAGGAAACTATTTATGTAAATCAAAAAATTACTGATAACCGAAGTTATAAAAGATGAAAGAACAAGTTTTCGGCTTCAATATCGTGTCTCAAGCAATATAATTAAGTCGCTAGTTTTCCAAACATGAACTCGCTAGTGTGTTTTGCTTTCTTGACTGTTATGATCAGTATGGTGTGTGCTAAAGACTTGTATCGTGGCTGTATTTATGTTGAAGGAAGGTGTAAGTAGTTTACAAAACAATATACTGTCTAACGCCCTTAATAATAATCATTAAATATCGCTCACTTAAATTGTGTAGCATTTGCTAAATGCTATGGTAAACAATGTCTTACCATAATCGTTGATTATTGAGTATCAGTTATCTCTATACCTGTCTCCTTCCATCGTCATTTAATGAAAACGGAAAGAGCAACTATAAGCACTTTTTAAATTGACGACTTTTATGAGTAAAGTCGTAAATATAAAAAATTAGCATATTGGTTACTCTACTTCATTTCTATTATCACTGACACAAATATTTTGATTAAAAAGGGATGTTTTTTCAATCGTCACATGAAAGTTATCCATTAAGTAATTTATAACCAGATTCTATAAAAAATTGTAACTTCTAACGGACTATTTTCTTAAAAATATTGTAATTATTGTTGTATTGTGTATTGTAATGTTACTTTTAAGATAATTTTCAGACTAAATGTCTGGTTGTAATTTATTTGATGGATAACATTTTTATGGCATTTGAAAATTCTTCAACTTTTGGAATTAATTTGTTGTTCAATAACGTAAGTAATATGTAAAGTAAATATTTGGTGTATAACCGACATCAAATTTCATAGAAACTTAAATTTTTTTATTACCGACGAGCAGTTCATCTAATGTAAAGTCCTCCAAACCGAATTTCAGCCACGACAGCCAATCTTTAAGGAATGCGAGAGTGTGTGTGTTCAAGCACTGGAGCACTCCCTATTCCCTCACTCTCATAGTCTTACGGGACAGTAATCCGACACGACCAAAGGTATGTGAAACACCGCCAACCTACTGACTCCGTTTTGCTATTAAAATTTTCTCGACAGACAAACCAATAATTAATTTTGGAATAAGAACCCGAGACCAAATGTTCAATGGTCGCATTTTCGATCATTATACCAACAAGTCACTTGAGAGTCAGTGACTAATAAATTCTAAAACAAACTTTAAACAAAAAATACAGCAAATATATTAGCTTTATCACACTTCAATCCGAAAAACAACAGGGTGTGTGTTGCTGCTTGGTGGGAGGAATAGTTAAGAGTGTTACCTACTCGGACACCTCGATAATAACAAGCTTTACTAAACTGTAATTATATGTAAATAATGATATATTGTCATCATTATTATCATCATGATTATAGCCCATCAAACGTTCACTACTGAACAAAGGCCACTCCCTAAGACACATTGAAGTGATATTTGCCATAATTACCACGTTTGTTAGGTGGGTTGGCGACCGCAGTTTTATTAGTATTGCTCCATTCTGTTCTTCGGAAGATGCTTATCTCCGCTCTCTATGTTTTCCACTATCGCCTCTAACGAAACTCATTGGAATATATGGGGTAATGAATTCTATTGCGTCGCCATTATACAGGCAAATTATTTCAAATTTCGGTGACCTACGACTTGTTGTTCAAGTTATCGATAGATATATCTTTCAACAGTTTTCCTTGTCTAATGGTTTTATAATGATCCACCTATATAGTTATCTGTTTAAATAAATTTGTACAACTCGGTGACCGCATTATTTATTATGTATAAGACATTCTTAACGTTTATTCATTTCAAATAACGTGACCTTACCTTGAAATATCACGTTTTGATTGAGTATGAGTTTTTTTATAATATACAATATTAAAAACCATAATAAAAAAAAACTAAAACTAGTAATCTAATTATCATAAAGTCCTACTCCCAGCAGTAGTAAGAACGCTGCCTGCGTTTCCCCGCTGAATGGCTATACTTAGCCTTTGAGCAAGAAAAGAACCAGCCCTCTTATCACCAGCAGCAACGATCAGCCACGGATGGAGTTCCTTTAGGAACTACACCGCACGTGGACCCCACGCACCGATAGTCTCTACAGCAAATGGCTCAAATATTTATACGTGGTAGAGCCATGCTCCAGCTACATTTCTGGTATAGTTGTAACACGAATGGGTCGGCTCGACCGGGGAAGGACCACGCTGTCACAGTTGGGCACACAGTGCTTCCATATCATTGCGGTAAAACACCACACTGTTGCCGCAGGAAATCGCGTGACTTTTCCTTATCTCTACGACAGCTATAAACCAAATCTAAACGAAGTTCGCTATAATGTGCTATCACATTTTTGTTCTTATATATGGCAAAGGTCATATCTCAATGCTAAATTAGTTAATAGAATCAGGCATTAATTTGCGGAAATCCATTATATAAAAGCTTTTAGAAAAATTTACTTCGCAAATATCCGCCTTATAAAATAAAATGATCAGTGTGAGTTGGCCATCCCCGCGTCATCGTGTCATCCGTGGCAACATAAAGTAGCCGCTTTTTATTAATAGGTACATTAACTGTTTGTCCACTGTCCCATTAAGTAAAGAAAATTATTTAAAAGAACTTAATATAATTTATCAAATAGTGCTCTCTAACGGTTTTTCAAAAAATCTCATTAACAATTTAATTAAAAAGAAACAAAAGCATGTTGTTCGCAACTCTCTGTACGCGGTTCAACCTCAAAGTGTTCATCGATATGTGAGCAGTTTGACCTACTTAGGCCCCATATCTGAAAAAGTAGTTAATACTTTTCGACAAAACGGCGTTTATGTGGCGTTCAAAACAAACAATTCTTCTAGAAATATCTGTAATAATAAAGATAAGTTGGATATTCGTCAAAAGTCAGGTGTTTGCAAACTTGTTTGTGACGAATGCCACGCCGTTTACGTGGGTCAGACTGGTCGCAATTTCGAGACACGTTATAAAGAGCACTTAGCCGCGTACAGAAATTGCAATCCCGATAAATCCCATTTTGCCAAACATCTTTTGGACACTGGACACAACCTAGCCAACGACCACTCCTTTAAAGTCTTACATATGTGTAATAAACGGCTGTGGCTGTGTGTGCTGGAACAGTTAGAGATATTAAAAAGTAACAATAGTACCGTTGCATTGCTGAATAAATAAACAAATGTTACTAACTCACCTCTCTTAAACATCTTTAAGCCTGCTCTCTAATAATAGAGAGCCTCGCAATATGGTCGTTTGTCACCCTCACGGTGTTCGGCGATTGGTTGCGTGGTTGGAGGGTGGGCGTTGCGCGGCGGTTTGTTTTTAATTTTACAAACGGCTGCGTAAGTCCGGCGGTGATTGGTCGCATGTTTTATCGCATGACGCAGTGGCTCGCTCCTTAAGTAGAGAGCGGTTGCGTCAGCGGTCTGTATAAAAGGCACTTGTTTTGGCTCGCCGCTCACTTAGCGGTTAGCCACCGTAGAGTATATATCACCTGAGGATGCCTCGTGTAGAGGCGAAACACGTGTCGTATAATCGTCAGTGGTATGTCTTGCCTAGTGTAGTGGTGTTGGGAGTAGCGGTGCTGGGATTAGTGGTGACGGGGATAGTGCACACAATTGAGGGAGGGCGGGAGGTGCTCTTCATACTAGGTAAGATACATCATTTTATTTTATAACGCGGATATTTGCGAAGTAAGTTTTTCTAAAAGCTTTTATTTTTTGCTAAATTAGTTTTAAGATCAGCAATACGATGTATCCGGCTCGCGACATCTTAGTTGTACCGCATTATCATTTATTATTGCCAAGAAGATATAGTATATGTAGTGGCAGTATATTATAAATATTCACTTTTCCATTGTAACTCGTGGAGTCGTAGGACCCGACAGAGGGAAACAAATCAGGAGTGGGCAGTAGCGTTTTCCTAATAACAAAAAATATTTTGTTATTTTGTTTTTAAAATTATTGGCTATACACGAAAATTAAAATTGCACTTGCCAAGCGTGGCAACTATGGCAAATCCCTCCCTCCCCCCTGTGAGGCAATCTGTGGGGGAGACCCATGCTCAGTAGTGATTTTTAATCGGTTATTACGGTAACGGAGTTTCACTCCGAATTCAATCCGGACTTTTTAAGGTATGTAAATATATTATTTTAGACACAAATACAGTGACACCCATAGACCCTATCAAAGCTATAATATACAACGTCTTGACAGAACAAAGATACTGGGTAAATATAACTTCAGTTGTAAACCATGTAGTGGCGGTGTAAGAATATCCACTACCCCATAGCAACGAGGCACGTGGGTGTCGTAAGAGGCGACAGATGGAAACTGAATCAGGAGATAGGCAGCAGTCTTCCTGATAACAACTTAAAATAATAGAAAACTTCGGTTCTCAACCCGCTATATAGTATGGCAGTTATAGCAAATATCCGCTCTATGAGGCAATCTATGGGGAAGGTATATTTTTAGTAGTGGACTTTTGAAGGCTGAATGAATGACCTCAATCGGTATACAGAAATTACGCAATCACTAACTGACGCACTAACAATTAAAAACTAATCAAGATGATAAGGTTTTAACCTCGTTTACAATAAATTTCTCCAAGAACAAATATTGTCTATAAACAAAAAATTGATAATTAATAAAATTTGGCTATATTATGTGTAATTTGATAAATTTCACTATACAAGCCCCATCTTTCCCAGTGTCTCGGAAATTTACATTAGAAACCTTCAATAAAAGAGCCTACTCTTTTTAAAAGCCCGGCAACCCACCTGCAATTCCCCTGGTGTCGCAGTTGTTCATGGTCACTTATCATCAGTTGAAGCGCATGCTCGTTTGTAACCTCTTATAAAAAATGTCTTATTGCAGAAACGTTACGTTCTTCTTTTTCATTACACCATCATTAAGGTAAAATCAACGCTAAGTCACTATCGCGTGACTTTACGTCTATATATTTCATTTCCATTATTTTATAGTTTTCTATAGCTTTTACGATCGTAGTAAGTCATCTTGGCTAACCCCGCAGACCGTAAAAGATTACTGGTGCATATGGACCTCGTTCATTGTATAGAGGATTTGTTTTAAGCGAATCGCACACACAAGCGGCTTTCAGTGGCAGCTTGGGTGGCGGCCATTTGTATTTGCTTGCAATGTAAGTGAGTCGGCAAACCCGTGCGACCATGTCTCTCGATCTGCGAGCGGCTGGCCGCAGCTGCATGCTCCACCCCTTTCGCCAACGCGCGTGTTTTAGCGAGTACGCGTTCAGTCGATGGCTACAGTGCGGTCTGTTGCAAATTTTTACAACAGGCCACGTGTACTGAGTGAAAAATGGTGCTAAATTCAGAGATTTTAATAGAAACTGCAAAATTATCCAGTACTTTATGATAATTCGTATCGTGATTACAAAAGCACCGCCACTCCGGCCGCGGTGGTGTGTTGTTGCAGCGGCTGGAGCCGCGGCTCGAGGTTAGCCGCCACCGTAAGCCGTTTATGTGTGGGAGACGTAGCGAGTTTGCGGCCTATCGGTGGCCGCAGCGCGATCACTTCGTTTGCGGTTCGTAAATTAGATTAAGAATAAAAGGAAGTAAATTGAACGAACTCTGCACGGCGGCCATTGGAGCGTTAACAATGAGAGGACAGTGTGACGTGACGACTTATGTTATCGGAGGATTATTGTTGCGAATACCTATTGAAACACAGAATATTTTAAATTGAAAAGCATGTCATAACTATTTATTTAATACGTGGTAGAGCCATGCTGCAGCTTTATTACTAGTATAGTTATAGCACGATTGGGACAGCTCGACCGGGAAAGGACCAGCTCTTACAGAATACCAGCGTCAAATGGCAACTTAACGCTGCTATGTTTCGTATGTTGAGTGTAGAGAACCGGAGACCCCTTGTACTGGAAACGAGGCATTTCATCATAGTCCTCATGGGTGACAACGCACAACATTTTGATTCGTAGTTGAGGATGGATGTGAATGTCTATGTACCACAGCAACTACTTACCATCAGGTGCACTGTGTGCTGGTTTGTCACCCTTATTCTATAAATAAAACTACGATCACTATAGCGAGACGTTTCCATAATATTTATGAACTCTTTCCTCTACTGATGCGTACTTTATTATGTAATTTTTATTAAAACGACCTATTTTTTAATGAGTTGTCCACCAAATATTTTACCAAATATTTCTACCAAATATTTCAAACCACATATTTCTTCAATTTCATTGTTCCAGGTTCAGAAGAATGTGAAGAAGGCACCTACTCATACACCACTGGTTGTGGGTATTTGACTAAAGAACCGACGTGTGATGAACCCAATCCCAAACCAGACACAGATGGCCATATTTGCGACTTCTCTGATTGTTACTGCAACCCTCCGACGGTACGTCATACGAAGACCAGGAAATGTGTTAAATTGGAAGATTGCAAGAAATACGACTAGAAGCTTATTTATGTATTATTACAGGAGTCACAGAAAGGAATAATAAATACGCCTGATTGTTAGTTGTTTCCTTTACTAATTTTACAGCACGAAAAAGCCCCTCAATCATTATTGCAATCGTTTTTATAATATCACACAATGGTTGTAGCTACCCCTACTACCTATCCAAACTGAACCTAGCAACAGTTCGAATGTGTAAGAATTATACAATCTAAATACTTTTATAATATGAAAATAAGTAAACCACTGTTATAAATATTACTGATAAGTCAATTAATTACAATTGTTGCAAATGAAAATACTTACATAATATTCTTTACAAATCTCACAAATTCTAAATTAAAATAACTGAGATAATTATCTATGATAATTATTATGACAATACAATAACTTATAATCTATTTTATATTTGTAATTAAAAAATTATATTATAAAACAAAACGATAATTACACAATTATTATTTAAATGACTCATGATAGGAATTATTTAACAATCACTGATAACAGTATACTATGTTTAATTAGTACCTTTGATGCATTGCATAACATACATAAATATTGTAATTATTTTTATATAACATTCAAATAAACTTTACCCCCATTATTCTTAGCCAATTTTTGTTTGTAGTCGAAGTTTGCGACGGTGATACTAACCCTATTAATGATGACGGTGCTTAGTCAGTCTCAGTCACTGGTTTCAGGGCACTGTCATGTCACCTCGAATAGTAAAGAAAAATCTATTTCTTAATTTGCGCTGGTATTTATTCTACGAGTATATATAAATAAAAATTTATTTTTATAATTTCTGTAAGCGTGACCCGCTGGTCTAGTGATTTGCCGATTGCAGACAAAGACATCTCCTACCATTGACGCTGGTCTTCGGTGCAGGTCTTGGTATTTTAAATATTAAGTCTGGCGTAAGCAGATGGTTGTATGACCACCTATTGGGAGCCGTGGGATTCTTCTGGCGTTCCCAACAGTCGGTCCTAACGACAACCACCGCGAAAAAAGTGAACATACGGCTCTATTTTTTTTTATAGAATAAGGGTGACAATCGGGCATACAGTCTAGATGGCAAGTGATTGCTGTGTCTCATAGACATCTACATCAATTCTTGATTTAAAAAATGCAGCTGCGTTATCACCCCTGAGGACTATGTCGGAATGCCTCGTTTACAGTAAAAAGAGTCTCCGTATCTCTAAACTCACTATACGAAACACAGCAGCTTTAAGCTACTAATTTCCACTAGTATTTTGTGAGAGCGTAATTGTTGCCCAGCAGGGCTGACCGATTTGTGCTACAATCATAATATAGGTGTAGCCATGTTCTCTGCGTGATAAACTCATTTCTAAGTTTATCACGCAGAGAAACTCCGAGCATAGCCCTCTCCATAGCTCGCTGAGCGACCTTGAGCTTCCTCATACGGCCATCTGTGAAGGACCACGTCTTAGTTCCGTAAGTCATCACTGGCAACACGCACTGGTTGTACAATTTCGTTTTAAGGTTTTGAGATATGTCTGACGAGAAAATGTGCTGTAATTTCTCGAACGCTGCCCAACCGAGTTGAATCCGTCGATTGACCTCTCGGTCGAAGTTGGACTTACCTAGTCGGACTATTTGTCCCAAGTAAACATACTCGTCAACAACTTCGAGCTTATTGCTCCCAACAACTACCGGCATAGGTGTGACATGGACATTTAACATAATCTTTGTTTTGTCCATGTTCATCTTAAGACCTATCCGTTGGGAGACACTATTGAGGTCATTGAGCATAGTGCTTAGGTCTTCCAGCGATTCTGCCATAAGGACTATATCGTCGGCAAATCGAAGGTGAGTGATGTACTCACCATTGATGTTGATACCGTATCCTTTCCAGTCCAGAAGCTTGAACGTCTTCCAATGCAGCGGTGAAGAGTTTCGGGGATATGACGTCACCCTGTCTTACACCTCTCTGCAATTGGATAAGTTTCGTACTCTGGTTCTGTACTCGGATAGCCATCGTAGCTCTACTGTATAAAAACTTCAACACTTCGATATACCGACAGTCAACTTGGCACCGCTGAAGGGACTGCAGCACCGCCCAAATTTCGACGGAATCAAAGGCTTTCTCATAGTCCACATACGCCAGACATAGTGGCAAATTGTACTCTTCGGACTTCTGTACAGTTTGCCAAAGGGTAAGTATGTGGTCTATGGTGCTAAATCCCTTTCGGAAACCGGCTTGTTCGGGAGGCTGGAAGTCGTCAAGTATGCGCGCGAGACGTAAGACTTAAGAGAGACAAGACGTAATGACTCTCGAAAACAGCACGTAGACGCGGCTCAGCAGGGAAATCGGTCTGTAGTTCTTCAAGAGAGCGTTGTCACCTTTCTTGAAGAACAAGACCACCGCACTTCTGCTCCACGCCTCCGGTGTAATGCCACCATGGAGGACGGAATTAAAGAGTTTCTGAAGGACTTCAAGTACCGGTCTTCCACCCGCTTTAAAAAGCTCCGCTGTAATTCCATCCTCGCCTGGGGCCTTACCGTTTTTTAAGTGCTTGAGAGCCATTCTAATCTCGCTCGGACTGACGTCCGGGATATCTTCGGGATAGTATATATAAAATATATACTTGTATTTAATTGAGGTGGATAATATAAAAAAATGTTGAGTCTGCGTAGAGTGCCTTAAATCAAAAATTTTATCACTTTCTGACTCCCTTCAAACTGTGTCCAATTAATATAAATTAGCCCAAAACCAAATAAAAGAACACATACTTCCTATGGATAATTTGGTAAAGAAATGTAACCATAACGAGGAGCGTCTTGACTACTTAAAAAGACATCAATGTTAGTTTCGCGTTCAATACCAGTTCCTTCAGAGTCGATTGGTGCTGATACTATTATGCCGCCACCAAAATTCTATGACTGTGCCAGAGCAGAAAGAATTAAAATGAAAACGAACTCCAATATTAACAAAAATAATGTAATTGTGTAAAGCGATGATATGGGAAAACAATCTAGGCATAAAATTACAAACTGCTGCATGACTGGAGCATCTTTTAGTAACATCCTAAATAAAATAATAGTTATTAAAGTTTCCAAAAGATAGTACAATTCTTTTTTTGTAGAAGTGGCAGCGTAAACAGCAAACAGTTATTAAGATATATTGAACAAATTAACAACTTAAATGTACACAAAATTGTCTTGTTCACACTGCCTTACATACAGAGATTGCAATCTGAAACATAATTTAAATCTACAAATGCATAATTTTATATGTAATGACAAATTAAATTTTGTATTAGTAGTAATGATAATAATGACAAATTTCATTTAGTTGACATAATTAATTTAATAAAAATTTTTTGAGAAGAAGATAGGTATTATCTATCCGAATATAATTTAAGACTAGTAGCAAATGCTCTACCTTATTATTTACTTTTTAACTCACTTCTATTGAGCAGCATAATCATTTGATATTTAATTTAAAATCAAATCCAACTAGTTTAAATTAATATATGCGACAAGGGGGCAATCTGTAGCAATAATAAGAGTTTAGTTAATTTAGAACGCAGCCCACAAATAAGTTATAAAAATTGTTTACACCTGGTGCATCAAAATAATACAAGGCATGATATGCAAAGAATTGGAAGTAGAATTTTTTTCAAATAGTAACAGCATACATATCCTTTGTTTTACTGAAAATTGACTAAAATATTATAATTTCATGTTTAATTTCAGAAATCACCTGGTGGTCAGTTCTTACAATAGAGAAAAAAGTTAACGTGGTGGCTCCTAAATATTAGCATGTCGGATATTTTAACAGGCTGATATCGGATATCACAACAGGAGATCCCACTTCTGATGTCGGAGAATTACAACAGCAGATTCCAATTTTGATCTCGTAAATACATCAGGATAGCGTTAACTGTTAAAAATAATAAAAGTATGAGAGCGGATGTTCAACTTGCTCTCGTGCTTACACAATTAATCATTGTCGGTAATAAGACAACGTAACGCACTATACATTCAGTATAGTGAAATTACAGTTCGACCACACCGTAACACGTCTCCGCCACAATCACACCAGTGTAACGTGAGGTACGTAATTACATGATAACACCAAAATATGTAAACCGACAGCAACACTACTTATCTCAATGTAACACAGGATAGCCTCTCAGCAACCCCAATTCTCCTTGCCTGCACTAAAAGAATTACAACAACGAACAGAACCACGACACTATCTTAGCACTAGTAGAACGACCACACTCGTTGAATGACTTAAGCGGAATCTCTCGCGCACGGCACCTACAGTGAACTTTATACTACAGACACAAGAGGGGGTTTCTCGATATACTCTCCATTGCATCTCAATCCAACCGGGTATTTTATAGACGCTCCTACACGGCCATCCTGACGTACGACCGTCCTCGGGCGTGTATCTTTATGCATTCCTGTAACAAACAATTCGTCCGGTCGTCCATCCAGTATAGTGAAATTACAGTTCGACCACACCGTAACACGTCTCCGCCACAATCACACCAGTGTAACGTGAGGTACGTAATTACATGATAACACCAAAATATGTTAACCAACAGCAACACTACTGGTCAAATCAAATCAAATCAAATCGTTTATTGCTTCTATAATGTACAGTACATTAGCAGTTACAGTGACCATTATAGACCCTGTCGGGCGTTGCAATATACAAGAAATATACAATAAAATAATTGAATGGACTTATAACTATGTAACATCATTATATTATATTTGGCTATTTTGAAAATAAAATTTTATTTAATACTTAGTAATTTACTGGTTAGTAATTAACTATCAAAAAATTCAGTGAGCGTGTAAAAGCATTTGGAAATAAGATAATCATGAAGGTTTTTATCGAATGAACTTAATTTCACTTCAGATTTTACATCTATGGGTAGTTTATTGAATATTTTAATTGCCATGTTTGAATTGTATTGAATATTTAATTGTAGTCCATATTGGACTACAATTGAGCATTT